GTTTCCCCTACAATAGAGTGTCCATGAAAGAAAGATTAACATGCGGCGGAATCTTTACAAAGCCTCGTGAAATGGGAGCCAGAGCTCAAGCTGCTCCGAGCCCCGGCACAGAGCCCAGGACGGCCTCCCGGGGAGCAGAGCGCACGTACCGGGGGGTCTGCTGCACCTCTGCCCACCAGCGGTAGTCGGTGTGGCTGACGAGCAGCAGGATCTGACACCAGAGCAGCACGAGGGCCGGGTGGGTGGGGACCATGGAGCGCACCCACGCGTTCAAGCTCTCCAGGCCATAGAAGCTGCCGTCCGCGCCGTCCGTCAAGAGTCTCGAGGCAGCTGTGGTGATTCTCCGGAATGTCCCTAGGAACAAGCCAAACATAAAACCGATTACGGGGAAACACATCACGGTCCAACGCTTCGCAACCACGTGAAGCTTTTACACAAAAAAGATACACACAGGGCTCTTTCCTACATTGACAGGTTCACAGCCTTTGGCACCTAGAAAATTCCAGCCTGACATTCTGCTTCCTCAATGGAGCAGCCAAGGAAGCCGGTGCCCCCGCTGTCCCGTCCTCCCCACTGAGTGACCAGCTCTCCAGGGGCTCCGAGCCGGTAGCCTCCGTGGTGCTGACCGTGGACGCAGCTCCACCAAGAAGGCAGCAGCCACCATGCAGCCCATCAGGTCACGGCACCCAGGACAGCCCAAGCCACAGCCGCATGGGTGGGAACGGCAGGTCCCTGAGAGCCGAGGGCAAGGTGGCCTCTGCACCCAGCACGGGGTGACCACCCGGGGCAAGATGGCCGCGCAGGCAGGCACCCACACTCAGACCCGCACGTCAGCAGCAGACCCAGCCAGGCTCTGCCCCGGTTTCCCACAGCATCCTCCTTAGGGCCGGGAAAACTCTCCCCTAGGAGAGAGTGAATTCACGACTTCATTCTACCCCACCTCTGGAACGACACGAAGCCAGCTCCACACGCCTGTCTCTCCACCCCGCCCCGGATGCACCCAGACTGGCCCTCACCCCAGGGACACGGGGACACGTGCATGCCGTGAAGTGCAGCCTGGGACGCAGCAGGACTGGACATGACAGGAGGTGGCCAGGGGCTCCCTGTCCCCCCAGCTGAGGACTCCTGGCATCACTGCTGGCGAGTCAAAAGCTTATTTCTGCTCTAAATTTCAACACATGCAAACGCAAAAGGGCCCTAAAACAGGCAGAAACAAACAGACCACAGACTTCTTCTCACTCCTCATGACTGCTTACACCCACGCCCTGAGACAAGGGGAGAGCTGACAAAAGCTCGCCAAACAGAAACATCCGACGAGGAGCTTTCCAGTGCTCACCTCCTCTCTGGCCGCACTGGCTGGGTTCTCTCGGGTTGCTGCCGTGTCAGCATCGCCCACCTCAGGCCCACCCTGCCCTGGCCTGCTCCCTCTTGTGCCTCCGTCACCGTGTGGGCTCCCTGTGGGTCACGGACACGAGGGAAGAGACAGGTGCTGCTGCAAAGGAACCCTGGAGCCAGACCAAGGCACGCGGGGGGAATGGCAGACCACGGATGTGGGGTTTTACTGAACAGGGAGCAGGAAACCGTGGTCAGAGCTGAGATCCAGGTGATGGAGTGTCGAGGTGGGCTTTGAAATCAGACTGGTTCTGGCATGCCTGCTCGGTGACCCTGGCCGTACGTCCCCTGTGGCCTTCGTTTCCTCGCTTGTAAAATGGAATTCAGAGCACCAGCCGCTCACGGGGCTGCAGTAAGGATCAAATCATAAAACCCAAGTGAAGGGCTCAGTACAGCACTGGACAGAGCCAACGGCCAGCAAGTGGCCGCTGCTGCCGGAAGGACGTCAGGGAAGTGCCCGGCCTTGGAGGGCAGCGTCCCGACAGCAGGAGGAAGCCCGCCGGGGGGCGACAATGACGCTGGGGT